CTACAGTTTGTTGAAGGATGTGTGCGAATATGTGTATGTCAAAATAACTGTGCGTAGTCGGGCCGGGCCATTAGTCAAAAATATAAACGAAGTACAATATCTCTAGGTATTAAATTATATCCAGTACGTAAAACTCCAAACTAATATTGTAAATACGAAAGTGTTTGTTACATTTTCACTACGAGGACGGAGGTGGAGTATTGCTAGCTTGCTATTCCTAGTACACACTCTACTCATGGTGCCATTTCAGGATATAAGGATCAAGAAACTTCGAATATAATAGTAATGTAGGTAGTAAAATAAATCATGGTAATATAATATAGTTATGCCATGGATAAAGAATAACTATTGATTTGATTGATTTGATACTTGGTCCTAGAGTAAGGCTCTGGGTAAGTCATTAAGTCCAACATTAACAAGTATAGTAAACTCATAAGAAGTTTTATAATATAAAATAATTACAAAAATTAAAGTCAATATCCAAGCTGTGTAAATATTTGAACTGACTCAGTTACAATTATTCCGTAGGATATTTCTCTGTTATAACGAAATTGTTTAGAAAACATTACAATATAGTTTACTCCCCGGTGTGTGCACATATTGTATTTTGACTAAAAAAGAAGCAGACAAAATTGCAAGTTACGGCTAGTTCATAATATAATTGAAGTTATAAATAAATGCATATATCCATATTTCACAATATGAACTTTGAAATGAATTTCTCTTGTTGAATAATAATTTATACTCCGGCAACTAACTTGATTTAATAAAAAAGTTATCAGAAAATATGGGAACGATTTTGTAGAAGCGGGTCAGTGCATGTAAAATACTACAACTTTGCGTATTTAGTAATACTAGTGGTCGCCCAATAATGGTCGATTTTTAGAACATAATTAACTTAAATTGTAAGTTTTTTAAGGTAACATTATTAGGATTCTATTGAAATACTATACTTCTATTCTCGTGTATCAAATACATGGTATTGTGTGTAATGTTTTTTTATCTATTTAAAGTATTTTCATAATAAAAAAGTATTAGCAGTCTACTCTCCTTCTATTTAGAACCGTGCAATATTTATAAAAAAGGGTACAGTCTTTGCTTTACGTATTAATACAAATATAATAATTGTTTATTGGTATTCCCTGGTTTATTTTATATACCCTGGTTTATTGTTATTATCGTTACCATTGTTATTTTTTTTATTAAATTGTTTTGTCTGTAAGGTCAAGATTATTAGCGATCCGTGTGGTCACTCGTGATCTACACAGAATATCAGCGCTGTGACAATAATCCGTCACAGCATATGTTAAGTTTGAGCCATCATCCCAACTAAATATAGAAGTGTAACTTCATGTAGTATTATTGTTATATTATAAATGTATGTTAGTTGTTGTAAATGTAAATTTCTTGCTTTGTTTTTAATCCAAGCAATAATTTTGTTACATATATTTTGACAATGTAATGAATAATAAATGTAAGTACCAAACATCACACTATACTTCTAAGAAACTTTTAGAAGTATAGTGTTTGTAGTTTAAACATATATAGAAGAGATAAGATTAATACGAACTCCAAAATCTATAATACAAGCGTTAAATATAAAATTTAGACGCCCAAAAAAATGACCAAAATTAACGATTTTAAAAGTGTTGATATATTAATCGACTTAATGGAAAATCGAGTCAAGAACCTTATATAACGCGAAGCTTACTAATCGACTCCGTAACATAGATCGTCTTGATTACAAAGGTATCATTCCTATTTATCTGCATCGCTATTCCTTACATGCGTGTTTACACTACATAACCACCAATTAGAAGGTTTTGAAGCCCAAAACAATCATGTTGAAAACTCGAACATTTTATAAATGAATTCAAATGATAGCCTACCTCGTTAAAGGCAACCGCTATCAGCTTTTCAACGGAAATGGGTGGGGCTAACGACTGAAGATTGCGCACCGAACGCCTTTAAGGGTTCTTTCGTTTCTGATCTTAATCGTGCTTAACTGTATTGTATTTCGCTACTTTTGGTTGTAAATATGTATGTTGTAATACATCTTCACAACTATTATCACACATAATAATTGTGTGTAGGTTGCGTATTTTGTTATAGATGCGTTTTATGTATATAGTTTAAAGTATGTTTTGTTAGAACATTCTTCTGTGGGAGGGAAGAGGATTGTTAGTAATGTGGACCCCATTACAAACTTTTTTCCATGTCAGGTTGGCCTCCACACGGGTCCTCCTGGAAACCGTCATGTTAATTCCTGGTGAATTTGCCACGTTGGGCTAACTGACCTGACCTCATGATCATCTTATCATCCTCCACTGGTGCCCGCCGCCGCCACATAAATCGCAGGTCGGGGCACCATTCCATTACCATCCTTATGGATGATTTCTTATGAAAAGGATGGTTATTTTTCAAATTTGAAATTTGGTAGATCCAAAAATTCATCAATAATTTTCAAATATCCAATTTACATCTTAGTGAAACAGGTTTAATTTCATGGGTAATCTCCCTTAATAAAATCGTTACAACTAAACCTGTATATATTTTATCTAAATAACATGGGTTACACCTAAATAAGCTATTTATCTCATCCAAGGAGGGTATTTAAAAAAGACAGCATCCAAAGGAAATTACCGGTTTATCTCTCTACCGAAGCATCCGAGATAACAGTAATGCCGTCCAAATTACACTGCGCTCAGACTCTTAATTATCATTGGAGACAAAGAGACCATCTTAATCGGTAGAGAAATGTACGTACGTAAATATACATGTATGTACTAATTTCTGACCATTGTACAAATGTATATAGTATACCTACCTAGATTTACACAGAAAGGTGAGTTCGGGAAACAAGTGACGAAAGCACTGATAACAAATTAAACTAATCTGAGAGACAATGCCCCTCGACTGTCTTATTTAAAATAACAGTTGGCATTGTAATACTAGTTTCCCGCCCCGACTTCGTACAAGTATTTAACAAAAAAATAAAAATAATAATTTGACACAAAACTGATATTGAATTAATCAACCCTTCAATCAATCGACGGCGTCGTCTTAACAGTACTATGTTAATACTGTAAATAATAGCCCATTATAGCCATTGATAGCGAAACCATGAACAAAACAAGAAGGTACATTATTTGGTATTATATCACATTAATTACTATTATTTAGCAATTCCCTCACATATCCATAGTCCAAACGGTTTTGCCATAGAGTTATTTAGTAGTCAATAGTTATTACTGTTCAAAATCATCTGCGTAGGTCTGCGTAGTTACTTTCTCTTTCCCACCTTAGCTGCTAAGATTGCTTTTGTAAATTGTGGCATAGGAGAAGAATCAGTGTGCTATTGAAATACAGAAATGGATATGACCTCAAACGTCACATAACAATGTTATGTCCGTACTGTTCAAGTATATAAGTGCCACTACCTTTAAGGTGGACAGATTTAGTTGCCATTCCAGTTCCGTAAAAAAATAGATACCTATTGTTGTAAAAGCCTCGTCCACTATGCTGAAAGGTTCAAGCGGTTTAGTGGCGCTGTAATTAACCGATGCCAGCCTTACTGTAAGACAAATATGCAGTGCTAATAGTCGTTGAGCATGCGATTTGCTTTTATATCGTTAGTGGCTTATGCAAACTTGCTAACTTTATAAATACTCTTGTATAAGTTTTGTTACTAGAGTGTGCAGTGGATTAGTGGTTTGCCACTTTAACTCAATAGGTTTATGTTTGATTCTGGGATATATCTTTTTTTTTTAAATTGGGCTCGTTATTTTTTTAATTCACTGTTTACTTTTAAAACTACATATTAGGTAAGTTCCCACTTAAATAAGTATTTGTTAATTACAGACACAATAATACAAAAAAAAACACCAATATCAAAAACAAAATATTACAAAAACTTATACTAGACGGTTTCATAGACTTATCTTGAATAGCGGTTGCAATGTGGCGAAATTATTTTGTTTGTTTTGCCCCGGCTTCGCACGGGTGATCACGTATCATAAATATAAACCTTCATTTTGAATCACTCTATCTATTAAAAAAAAACTATTAACAAAATCCGTTGCATAGCTTTAAAGATTAGGGATTATATACATAGGGATGGACAGAAAGCGACAGCGACTTAGTTTTATACTATGTGATGATTACTTTCATACTGATAATACACTTCTTTTTTTTATTAATGTATCATGTACCCTCAACTGGGTTAAGCTGAAAATCAGTATTTTGTTCTCTGAACAATCTTCCACACTGAGCTTACGACCTTCTTATGTTATTGTGGATTACACATAATAACACTAACTTGTTAATCTTATGTCGAACTATGTATTGTCCACATATAATTGTAATATATATACAAAGCAGTGTAATTATGTGTCATTGGTAACATGCAAACGAATTCTCTATCTATCACACAGATATCAATTCAGTAAATGTATGTTGTTATAAAAAATAGTACCTAGTACATCTTCATTACATAGTATAAAACAAACAATTCGCTGTCGCTGTCTGTCCGTCCCTATGTATGTTTAAATCATTTGAAATTAAACAACGCATTTTAAACGGTTTTTATTTAACAGATAGAGAGATTCAGGAGGAAGGTTTATATATATAATACATATACACCCGTGCAAAACCGGGGCGAGTAGCTAGTCATAGTATATAATAGTATAATTCTATTGTAGGGAGCTAGTGGCTGAGTACTACCAACGTACGAGTACCCTATTAGATTGATCTACACGCAGTTCTGTTTAGAACTAATCATGGTGAATTTCTGGTTGTTTCACCACCATGAGCCAATTAACCTGACGGTATAGAAGATAATGGGATTAGAAGGAATCAATACCCTTATCTTCTACCTGGTGCACCGCTAGTGTAGGTTTACGGAGGCGGGTGAATCCATTATCATCACCACAAAAATATCACCCCATTAATTAATTTTTATTTACTAAACTCATGCTGATGATAATTTCTGCTTGTTACAGTATCACCGTGCCAGATGTGGTCTCTAGCGTGAGTTCGGGTCCTCACTATGCACCAATGTTCGATCTTCATATTAACACTCCTATGCGTCTCAGTAAAAGGTACGCATTTACAAATTAATTTAAAAAAATTCTTATTAAATTACGATTAAAATTTTATATCTCACTTTTAAAATATAGCTGGTCATAAGTAAACTGTGGATTTGTTGAAGACCTACACTCAAAAACCGATTTTTTCATGTAATTAGAATAGAAAAACGCTGACAGCCTAACGGTCAGCCATGACAATCGCCTAAATAGGAGTACATGAATAGCATTATGAATACACGTTATCCGGATACCCATAATGCAGAATATCCTGTAATTTCACTGGTTAATCAACCTACAACCGAAACAAAGCTTACAAAGCAACCGGCTGTAATAGGTAAGACTTTTAGTACTAGACTAGTTTTTATTATCATGTGGAAAAATCTTCAAAACATCATTAGCTCGCCGGAGGGGTGAAGAGGAGGTGTGTGGGATTAAAATAGTACAGGTGTACTTATTGTCGGAGTCGAGAAGTCGCGTTAGCATTCCCGATTATTCATTAGCGATTCGCGACTCCAGCGACGTTGTCTCGCCCTGTAGATGCAGGGCAGGCACCATCTCAAGACTGAGGTACCTACGCAGACGGTACTTCGTAGTATGTACGAACTTTTTATAAAGTAGGGTACCTCTGGTGTTTATAAAAATATTGTCAGTACGTCTATCAGTTATCTGGTACACTTAGTATAAACTCAGCTTAGTTTGGAACTAGATGGCGTAGTGCATATGATCAAAGGTTCTGAACCGATATTAATGACTCTCATTTTAGTTTAAACAAGTTCTGACCCATATAAAATCGGATTGTAGTTGATATTTTGTAAAAAAAAAATTTGTAATGTTTTATAACATTTTATAAAACTTACAGATATATCTGGCAGCTGGGAAGAATGGTGGACATACGACGGAATATCAGGTAATTATATAATTTCAATCAAAGTTTGAATTCATATTCTAAGTAAACCTTTTTATAATAACTTTAAGGACGTAATCTATGTGTGTATCAATATTTAATATCTTTACAAGGTTCATTTCAGATAGAGTACATTAATTTATTTTTTTACTTTTACCCCTCCCACAGACTCTTATTTAATTAGATTGACACTTATGTAATTGTTAATAACATCATTACATCGTGAATAACTTATTTTCATTTTATTTTATTTATTTAAATATAATATAATACAATTTCAACATTACATGGCAAATACATACGACACTAGCAGATCCACATAACTTCGTGTGCATCACACTTATTTGACATTTATCATTATATTTCGCCCAATCTACATAATATATTTATTAATAATAGCCTGTGTTATTTTGACTACATAATATATTTATTAATAATATAGTTAAATATATATAAAATAATTAGTGTTATTTTGATAAACAATTACAAAAAACAATCATTGTAATCCAACGCGTCGAAGTTATATTACTGTAATATCAAAATCCATTCAAAGTTGTATAAAAGAGTAACAAACATCCATTCATCCATACCCAGAAACTTTCGTACTTATAATATTGTTAAGATTAAAGTGAATGTTTATTTATTCTGACACAAAAACTTTCTATAACAATAAAATGAAATGACCACTCCATATTCCAAAGACAACGAACGCGTATTGTTATATAAAAAATCTGGGACAAATAGTCATAGTCATAGTATATATCCGTGTAATGCTACCCTGGTAATGATCAGTGATAGCATCTTAATGATGGTACGCAGTCACCCGTATCATTATATTAGATAATACTCGACCCCAATTTCCTTTACATTTACTCCTCCAAGTAGACCGTACCTTTGAATACATCTATAGTTTTAGTATTAATTTGTATATTGAGAACGGCGTGGCTTAGTGCCTTACGTTTCCTACTTGGACTGAAAGATCATGAGTTTAAATCTTGTGTGTCAATTATTATTATTGATTATTCGGTGATAGAGACAAGTAGAAACAGATCATGATGATTTTATGTCATTTAAATGGCAAATAAATTCACACTAATGGTAAGTGGTAACCGTCGCCTATGAACAGAACGACGAAGATCACGATATCCTGTGACGTTCATGTACCTTGTGTGTTACAATTCTGGAGGAATTAAAATACCATGACTATTTATTTCATTTAGCTGACTTATCTCAGTCAACACGGCTGTGTTTCGGTTGATGATTAAGCTAAGCATTGTAAGCTTACAATGCAAGCTGAAGCTGAAGCTTAACAGCTGAAACAAACGTCTTTTTACAAAATCTAACTTGGATTTTTCATATATAAACAAAAAAATAGGCATTGCCTATATTCTTATTGTTTATACATTATTATACATTATTCTAATATTTTTTAAAATGAAAGAATAATTGTAAAGCAGAACGCCTTTAAAAACTGTAAAATACTGTAAAACTGTAACTCTTGAAACTGGACAATTTTCTCGAAGAATAAAGAATATATAGACTAGTTAAATTTTATAATCAACCTTCTATTTATTTGCTACTTGGAGAAAGTGCTTCAGTTTCATAAGTATTCTACGAGGCTTTTCGGTTTAGAATGCATTTTGCGAATAACCCTGTAATACTCTGAATATACTGTGTGAGACTAAAAACTTAACTGATGCACCACGATACAATCGAAAGTAGAAATATAAATAATCTTTCAAGTTTTTGTCAAGTTTTTTTATTCTACCGCTTATTCGGAATGCAGATTCATCACAAGAAGAATAAGCAAGAAACTTGTGTGTTGCTCTTTTAAATAAATATTGATTTACTTATATTTAATTAACAAACAAGGATTAGGCATGCGACAATCAACATAGAAACCGCTCTACGCATATTGTCTCGATTTGGTCACCCCAGTGTATCATTCAACGCATTGTCATAGTCAAATTATGCGGTGACGAAACAACTAATTAACTACATATTAGATGCAGAGAAATACTACTTGCAGTAAATATGAACAACAGATAAGAAAACATCATAATATGAAATCTTATATATAAAATTCTCGTATCACAATTTTAGTCACCATATTACGAAATGGATTTTTATGAAGTTTTATATGCATATTCATAGGTGTGAGAATCGGCTATTATCTATTTTTCATACCCCTAAGTGATTAGGTTTGTCCACCACTGCCATTTTTTTTAAAAAACACAATCTTTAATTGTTATATTTTTATAATGTGGCATTAAAAATACATACTAGTACAACTCTAAATTTTCACCCTTCTACCTTCAATCCCTATTTTTAATAGCGATTTTCATTTATATTTATTATGGCAAAACAACGTTTGTTCACAATTAATAGATCTATAAAACTACACACGTACGTAGTCACATCTGGTTTATAATAATAGTCATTATAACAGCACGTACGGACCCCTAAAAATGTGGTAGCAACGATTCCGATAATGATCTTCAATAGTGTCTCGGAGTGGTCACCCTAGCGTCCCATTAGCCACGATTCAACGCACAGTGATGGCCGAATTTTGCGGTGTCCCGAATTCCTATTCAATTCGATATCGCGCAGTTAGTTATATTAGGGTTGAATACGCATTATGAACCGGCCCGTTACGCAGTTATGAATCGTCATTTTAAACTATTACTTTCTGTTGAAACCAAATGGATATTTCATGTGAATTCATCGCGCGGTGTATTGGAATAATAGTGTCGTAGTATATAAATAGATTTGAACGATATTTTAGTAAAAACCTTTATTCAGACTACTGGCGATTGCTTTTACAGTTTTTAAAGGAATTAAAAATAGGTAGGCTCTCTTATTTGTCCTTTTTTTGTATGTGATATTTTTATATCTACCGCATTACTTCCGATGGTCGCGGTCGATTCCTCGCACGATACTAACATTTAAATTCATAAATATGATTGTTTGTATCGGTATTGGTGATTTCTATGTATATTATGATGATTTATGCATTCATAAAAAAATGTATATAAGTACATTTTTTTGTGAATGCATAAATGCACGCATGTATTTGACACTCTGTCTCAGTCGCCGTTTACACAGCATAATGCCCACATGACGTCAGCAGTGTGCCCTAGAAACAATGCTTCCTTCTCTTTTCTACATATACTACACATACCATTAAAATTTTCCTAATCGTGTATGTTTCTTCCAATGGAAATATATTAGTTATCACAAAGTATTTTTATGTCCGACAGATTTGAACTCACGACCTTCGTAGTCGAATTCAGATAATAATCACTGGACTACGAAAGCAAATCCATCCATACTGCGTATATTTACCACCAGTTGATAGCGTGAGTTGATGAATTGAATTGTATTTTTTTAATCAGGTCCTGGATTCTGGGGTCTCATCAACCCTCAATGGAGCATGTGCAACAAAGGCAGACGGCAAAGTCCAGTCAACGTCGAACCAGAAAAACTGCTATTCGACCCTTGGTTGAGGGACATACAGTTTGATAAACATAAGGTACTGTCTACATTTTTTTTATTTTAGAATGGCAAACTGGCTTATGTCTACTATAACATTAGCATTATTAAAACACGTGGAATTTACGTCTTTCTATTTGAGACCTACGAAAGTTTTAAATATAATAATCAATTTTTTTTACTATTAATACAAAAATTCCAAATTTAATCAGTGCTATGCCAGTAATTCAATAATAATTACATATAATAATCTCCAAAGTTAACCAGTTAACCCAAGTTAAACTAACAAAGCTTGTGTTATGGGTACTAGATGACTGATACAAATACATAAATTGAATTTCTTAAATACATATATAGGAAACACCCAGCCCGATACAATCAATTATACTCACGAATACAAATGTTTGTACCGTGCAAGGAATCAAACCCGCGACCATCGGGTAAATCGGTGAGCTATTCCGCTAGACCACCGAGGCCGTCGTAAATATAAATTATCTCCTATCAATTTTAAACCGTAAATCTATGTCGTAAAAATTAATTATTGCATTACAAGTAAACATTTGCGTTTACCTACTGCGGACGGCGGTAATGGCCAAATTTACATAGCAACAGCCTCTCGCATTAATCCTTTGCTAAAACACGATAAGCGGTTTGCGATAGTCCAGTTTACGTTTTTGCACTACGCGGACATGGGTTAATATATTATTATGACCTCTACATTGTTATCTAACCACATTAATATATAGGTACTCTAGTGTAGTTCGCAAACTAGTTCGGAAGAGCCTATCAACGAGGAACTACACGAACCTGTACTGCCGCTTATTAGTTCCTTAAGCAAACATAAAAAAACATAATTACATATTTTCGGGAACAGGCAATTACATATTTTTGGTGATATATTCTTCTTAAAAAACTATATAGCTGTATCGTCTAGACAAAACTTGGGCAGTTAGTTTATACCACAATCTGGTTGTCTATGCTAGGAAGCTCCCCTAAAACCGCAATAATAATAAAAATGATATAATTACAAGACCCTGAACAATCCACACAGCACCATCTAGCCCCAAGATATGCAGAGTTTGTGTATGGAAAGTAAATATATGACGTATGTATTTACAAAAATATATTTAAGTATTTCTATCAGTTGTTAAATCAATTAAATTGTTTAAAAAAATAAACTAAAACACCCAGACTAATCAAACAATCATACTCAGTAGTAATTGTGAATATTTAGAAGTTGATCCTAATTGTTGATCCATTATTAATTTTTAGTATATCTAGGATCAACGTTTTTATATGATAATACTTCGAGGTGTGGTTTTTTTTTTGGAAACTCAAGTAATAGAGAATTCAACTATTACTTGTATATTAATTTAAAATTGTTGTATACTAACCTATAACAATTTAATCAAAACTATTACTTAATCCAACAGTATAACTTTAAGCAAATAACTTACTTCATACTCGTAGATATTCAAGGGCGATTGAATAACAACTTCAATCTTCGGCAATAATTTGTTAGGTATTGTTTCGACATTGAAGAATGCCCTAATATTCTAGATTCAACCCTACTGTAGGTAATTATTAAGTCTAAATTAGTCTGAATGATGTTCCAGTTAAACGTTCGATTAACTACAATTACGGATTTCGATGATTGTAGGCATTAAATGGATGATTTAGTACTCGTAAATGTAGTAGATAAGTAGGTACAGCTAAAATTTTCCATCTATCTAAACCATTATTATTTGAAATAGACGAAATAAAAAATACTGAAACTATAGTAATAAACTCTTTCGCATATATATGAGCTATGCTATATTTTTAAATCACACATACAATGGACAGGCTCATCGAATTTACTTATGACTTGAGGCCTGGTAGCTACTTTGCTCAGAGGTTAAGTCTGGCTATTCAAAGAGACAACGCTGTCAGTATCTTAGGTACGCTGTCTCTATGAGCCGCGCCGTATTACAATTTACCTTTTTGTGAACGTTTATTAATATGCCTATAAAAATAGTAATACTATATATGACCAACATATTTTTAGGGTACAAAACACTTTAAAATCAATAAAAAAAATACAAGTGTAATAATGTTCAAAAACTTGTCCGGCCGTGCGGCGCGATAGGCTATCGGTGGTGCTGCATACATTAGCATGCTATTACCGACGCTGTAATTCACTCGAATGAATAATTCTGCATGCACTACACTTGCAATATTCATTAGCCTTCACCTTTACTGTTACGTGTTTGATGTTTAAAAATAATTTATTTCAATATTCAAATTTTGTATTACATTGCACTGATTGCTTACATGCCTGATTTAAAAAAATACACCATCATCACTGGAACGCTTTCATATTACTTTTAACTCTACGTTTCAGTTCGCCTCCAGTTTCAATTGAGAACTTGTTAGAAACTCACCTATTTCTGAAGTCAATCTGTTATCGCTATTAACACTTAATTAAAAATCACATACTTTAATAGTATTTTTTTTTTCGGTCTACTCTAATGCTGTTGCCGCAGCTGTAAAGATCTTCACCAGACGATAGTGAGAGCGAGAGCAAATTGCATTCCATACCCCGCGGAAGGACTTATGGAACGGCTAAAGGCCAACTCCCGCTTGACGGATACGACTATAGTCTGGGAGCACTGCAAGGGTATCACACCTCGGCTCTAGCTGTCGTAATGTTTATCGCCGTTTGAATTAGACAGGGGATCGATCGGAGGGGTGAATAGTATTTAAACGTTAGCTTGCCATGGTCATTATATAAATAAATATATAATGACCATGGATATATATCTACCGTGGATCATAGGTCATGTAAAGTAGTTAAATAAAATATAATGCAAAGTATCTCAATATCCTACTTCAAGGTCAGATTGTAAAATAAATGTATACCAACAATATAAGTAAAATAATTAAAAACAGGCATAACTGTAAAAAACATGGCTAATGATTATATTTGTCATTAAAATAGTCATAAATATTACAACAGCATTTTAGAAATAACATGTGGTGAAGGATCCTTTGAAAAACATGCTTTATTTATCAATGTAGTTTGATCACCCCCGAAAGATGACTATCTACAAATATATATATATACATGAGTACAAGGTCTCGGGCACACGTGTAACTCATATTTTTTTTTATGCCACAATTTTCGTATACAAACATACAGCCCAGCAGATGGTAAATCGTTACCGTAGCCTATGAATGCCTGAAACGCCAGAACTCATAAAATCATACTGTTATACGGATAGCGGTCCTATATATTATCTGATACATTAATTAAAACTAGGCTCTTATTATAACCGCCGTAATTCATACTCTATAAATAATGGTACATACGTTGCTGTAATACTCATTAGCCTGCGGTCGTATAAAGTTGTTAACTAACCATCCGATATGATTGCATATCCCTCTATAGGATCACTATAAAGGTATTTTTTCCTGTATATAGCTGGAGGATCCTGAGGAAATCTTCAGGCTAAATGCGATTTTTTTATGCAATTGGTAGACGAACAAACTGACCGCCCACCTTATGGTAAGTGGTAACCGTCGCCTAAACAGAACCACTTCACATGATCTGTCATGTCCATGATTTCACTCATGCGTTACCATTCCGGTAAACGAAAATGCGAAAGTTTATGTCGGTTTGTTATCTTTTACATATAAGCTGAGCGGATAAATGTAACAATTAACTCATTGAGGATCTAAAGATCTTTAGTTATCTCTACCGACATGTTATAGAGCCTACCCAAATAAATATACCTTACCGTACGTCTTTGAATTTTGTTTTTAAAAATCATAAAAAACCACATAGTTTTTTAATCTATTTTACAGAATAAGTCTTTATTGTTATCTTTCACATAAACAGCTGTAGCAAGGGCAAACCACACCTACCCATAGTTTGTCTACTTTGTATAAGATAGTAAACTTACTAGATGTAACATAAAATATTGATATTCAATAGGAAATATGACTTAAATCTGCTTAGAATCCAGTCTTAAATAAGTTTAAACAAAGTTCGGTAACAATGGTTAATAAGTTTATGGATACCGTGAGTGCTGTGTCGCCCTGTATCTTTTGTTTGACTATCTAGTGACTATTTATTCAAATAAACTTACATTGTTTTGAATAGTCATAACATTTTTTTAATCTACCGAATGCTGTCTCATCACAAGAAGAACAAGCAAGAAACTTGTGTGTTGCAATTTATTCTTACTTACAATTTAGTTTAAGTGTGTGAATACAAACCACCGATTAGCACTAATTCAATGAAATAATAAAATATAAAAAAAAACATTCAATATACAACAACTGGTTAAACAATTAATAGACATTCACATTACTGTACTATACTCAGCTCGTGATCACGGCTAGAGCAACCTAGTCGTAACGTCGAGAAATGTAAATACTTTATTTCCAACAAAATGATTCGTATTTGGACCTGATGTTAATAATAAATCAAAGCTTCCTTGACGGGAGTTGTATCTAAAACCGGTAGCTCATACGACTTTCATATTATAAAGGTGAAGAATTTGTTTGCTTGCTTGTTTATTTGGTTGACTGCGCTATTCTCTGGAACTACTGGTTACAATTAAAAAATATTTTAATTCATTTACAAGAAAGCCTATGTTACAACATCAGGCTACGACAAATAGAAGCGAAGCACCAAATAAAAATGTCGTAGAAACAGGGAAAATTGCACAGGTCAGTTAGTTAAATAATATTGTTAATTCTAATTATGGAGAAAACATGTATTCTCTTTACTCAATAAATAATTTCTTATATAAATAATGAAGCGTTACAAATATTACAACACTGTATTTTTACATGTCTATCATCATGTTACATACTTCATTAATGCCTGTACCTCCTCTTATGTCTCACTCACAAAAGCCCATGCTTGATTATATTCTTTTCACGATTAAAATAATAATATTTATTACCTACAATTTTTCTTGTCCATTTCCAGTGATTAAACATCTTTGGTGCCCTGACTTCGCGTGTCAACAGGCAATATGTCATATCTGTTCAAAGCGTACTAACTTTCCAGGCTTTAATCAAGGTGCGACCCATTGATTGATAGGATCGCCCCCACCACCAAACCACTCGTTACGTGGTGATTCACCGGTAATAATGATGCAAAACAATACACCAAGTTTGATGATAGAAAACCATTTCGTTCCATAATCAATTTGATCGTTTATACTTATATAAAGTGGGCTTAAATTGGTGAATACACTCGTAGTACATATATTCTTTATTGCACTTAGAAAATTGGGTAATAAAATAATATAGAGGCAGTGTGAGGACATATTCTTTAAAGAGATCTCAGTTAGTCAACCACAGACAATAACATTGCTAATATGGAGTGGGTACTATTTAATGGAAGCAATAAGTATAATGTCAAAATCTAAGAACACACTGTACTTTTTGGTACCTTAATGTATATATAAACGTATACGCAGGCACTAGTAAAGATTAACATGAAATGTTTCACATCGGGAAAAAATCAGTAGATATTTACCATAACAATTATTAGAAGATGCATGTTATGGCTTCCACCGTAAATGATGGTGACTCTCTGGCAAACTACGTTGTGGTACTCTTAAAAAAGGTTTCTTCTGTAGTTGATATTAACAGCCATAATAGAGAGTAGAGTCAACACAACACTTTTTAGTACACAAGACGTAAGAGTGTCTATTCACACACGGCCTTAATGTTATATACCATTTGTTTGTAGACAGTTTTCAATATACAATTACAATGGCAAGCCACCTGATGGTAAGTGTCCCCTATATACATGAATAGTACTACGAAATCAAGTTATCATGTGATTCCTGTGATACTGAGGCGTTGATACCGTAGGACAAAGATGATGATATGCCTCTTATCCAGTAACTGCACTGCCGTATCTTCCTTTAACCCAAAAGCAACTTACAAAGCAAGATTGATTTGCGGCTAAAATAAGCACACAGAGGACACTTTATAAAATCTACTTATGTAATAATTACAAAGTACACTTAGATTGTGAAATGAACTACCTGCCTTTTCTCGCGAGGCTTCAGCATTGGATTATTCAAAAAGGGCACATCAAGATTTCTTAAAGGTCGGCAAAGAGCACGTGTCGCCGCTGGTGTCTCAAGCGTCCATAGACTACGGTAACCATGAAACGATGGGCTTCAAAAATGAAATATACAAAAAAATATAGTACCTTATTTCTTTCGGCTGAATCAATACACTGTTAAACAATCTCATAATAATTAAACGAATGAAAATATTGTTTAAGGTCAGCGGGGTGCTTCAAAATACTGGACAATCCCTGGTATTCAGAGTGGAGAAAGATTCGAAACATCAAGTAAATATAAGTGGAGGACCACTCTCCTACAGGTACCAATTTGAAGAAATATACTTCCATTATGGAATGGAAGACAACAGAGGTTCAGAGCATCAGATAGACCACCACACGTTTCCTGGCGAGGTACGTTCCTTTTTTTTAATGGTAACTTTCTGCTATGCATTTTTTTTTCACGTAAAAAAGATAGAAAGTTAATCTAAGTTTATCGGTAAGTAGACAAGTCAACCTTGACATTTCACACTACGTTATCTGGTCATCAATCTACGTTTAGCTACTACTATTACTAACTAACTGCTATACATATATTTATAGTTATTACATAATATGCTCATGAATACAAATGTTGGTTGACGGCCTTGGTGATCTAGCGGTTTAGCACACCACCTTACTTCCAATAGTCGGGGATTCGATTCATTAATTTGTATTCATGAGTATTATTGTTTGTATGTATATATAGGTCTAGGTGTTTTCTATGTGTATTTCGTATATATTCACAAATAAAATTTATTCTAGGTATTTATGTCAGTTGTCTAGTACTCGTAACACGAGCTCTGCTTAGCTTAGGACTAGATGGCGCTGTGTGGATTGTCCAGAGTAATTTTGATTATTATTATCCAGGAATCGAACTAGCGACTATCGGAACTTATTAATGTGTTAAGTCGCCATGACCTTAGTTCACTATCTCGTTGATTAACAAAAGATCTCATTGAACTAGGTTAAGAATTAGAGAGTTCTTAATTCTTTCAGGAGTTTTAAGAAGATGAGTTTATGAAGTATTTTAGCTTTCTTTATTATAATTTGAGGGCTAGATAATTATTATAGTCTATTACATAATTACCAGTGTTAGATGATGGAGTTATTACAGAATATTGGACTAATATTGTCATATGTATTTTTGAATCACTTTCAGAAATACACTCGCCTTGGTTCATCATTATAAATTACTCAATTTCAATAACATCATCAGAACTATGCTTTGTTGAATCTTCTGTATGAAAATCTGTTTGTCTATTTCAATTATTTCTGCTGACAACTAACGCACTTTGCAAGCATATGACACTGACATTACTGGGAATACAGATGTAACAACTTTGGAAATGACAACGCTTGCGGCCACCATGAGGGTCACAGTGGGTAGATTGTAATTTTCGCTGCCGAAATGTTGTTCCTATCTATACACGTCGGCTACTGCTTTCCGTTAGCATATTAGTCATTTCGTTTCTTTTGATGGTGTTGGTGGTTTAGCGGTTTAGCTTTTAAAGTAAACTTTTTTAGGTTTTAAAGTAAAGCGGTGTGCTTTTTTTCGATCGTCGTAGGTTCGATGATATATTTTTCTCAGTAGTCTAATACCCATAACAAAAGCTCTGCTTAGCTTGGAAATAGACGGCGCTTTGTTAATTTTTCTGGATTCTTATTATTATATATTAACTCAATTCATTGCATCCTCAATCAATTTATTAAAAGAGATAACAATGAATTCTTATAGAGCTATAATTGCCGTGTCTTCTATAGTTCCATTATTTGAAATGAACATTGATTTTTACTTACATATTCTATTAACCATCATTAGTAATCATTAACTTGCATATTCTCTTTTGTAGTAAAGGTAAATCAAGAACATTCTGATTTTTAATAATATTATCAAACTGCTGTAGCAACTTAGAAAGCCTGACCTCTCACACATAATAAGTAATTCAATATATCAGTTCAACATAAATTGGGCGATAGTCTTCAAAGCAATGCAAACTATGCGTTCTTGACCATCTACCGTCAACTATGACCAAACATTCCTGACCACTCACCGCCGCTGCCGTCTACGATTTACTGATAAATTCCAATACTCCACTGTGATTTAATTAATTTAAATTATTATATCTACCATCTTTCTTTATATATTGTCGTCGAAGTAAACTACTATTTGAAAATTAGGTAAGATTAATTGATACAATCTCCTGATAAGTTAGTAGGCGGAAGATGAAATTTATTGTAAAAGAAAATATTGTACGTTTTCGTAGCTAATACTAAAATTTACTACGTCATTTAGCAGTAAAATTATTACGTTGTTAGTAACTTCAATTTATAATAATTACCCTGGATAATCCACAAAGAGCCGTCTAATCTCAAGCTAACAGCAAGCTCTGCTTAGCTTAGTTATGGGTACTAAACAACTAGTAAAAATATATTTTGAATTGTTGCAGCTTGGTTATAAAGCGACTTTAACTTGTATAAAAACAGCCTTAAAATAAATAGTATCCGATATGGAAATAATTATTACCTACTAGTAGACCCGATAGTCGTCGAAACGTCGTCCTGTTTGGGAAAGCCTACCTACAGGGTCAAATTGTATTTTCTAACTATCCAGAAACCCATTAAAATATATACGTCAAATTTCATCCAAATCCTTGTCGATCCAACCGTTTAGAAGAAATTAAGTAGCAAACACACATTTAGAATAATTAGATATACATTAAGATACATATTAAGATTAAAATAAATTTAAATAAAAAGAACGCCCTACTTTTTACAATACGAGATTGCGATAAAATCAATGCAACTTTTCAAACGATCACAATGAAAACTTCATTACAAATTAACACCTAAAACTTGATATCATTACCGAAGATCCCTGCGGCGAAACTTTTCAACCCCGTCTCAAGTTTGTTCCAAAACAAACGTTTTTGAAAGCAACCGCCGCAAATATTTGCACGGAGACGATGTCTTTTAATTAAATAAAGCAATTTGGGTAATTAGTTATTTGATTTGTCTGTGTACATGCTTGACTTTCTCTTTTATGTTCTTATATATATATATATCAAATCTTTACGACTATTATCACAGATGGGATAGTTAGAGGCATTGGCTACTGTCGACATCATAGTCGCTACGTTTATAAACGCCCATATTTAAGTATATTTTATTCGAACGTAGCTAAATATAATATATTTATTTTTAAAGTCAGTTAATAAATAAATCTTTTATTAATTTATTGACTGACTTTAAATTCTATATCGTGTAGATACGAAACACAAACACTATGTCTAATAAACAGGTAGCCGTCCATAACGGTGTGTGTATATTTTAACACATACTTTTTTTAATATAAGAGAGCCTATTTTCGTCCGCGTTATATAATCTATCTTCATGCCATATTATGTTAAAATCCATTCAACTATTTGATCGAAAAAGGTATTAAACAGACAGACACTTTTACATTATTATTATTATCAGCATGGGTTAGTTAATGACATTCCAATACTTAAACATAAATTGAACAATGATAATAATAGCATAGAAACAAGAAATACAAAATAGGATTTTGTGTATGTATTTGTCGATAACCATCATACCTCAAGTTCGATAATAATCAATTGATTGGTCGGTTGCGGTTCCGTACTAGTTCAAACAGTTAGGTGTATTGATCAACAGAAAGTGGTTATCGAAATTTAATGCTTCGTCAAATGATAGAGTTAATGCTTTGTTTAATTGAATTCGTCGTTGTATTTTTTGTGTTAGTAAACTTGATAATTAGGGCTGATTAGTAAACAAAAATCGAGAAACAATAGTATTTTTTATAGCATAGGTGATAAATGAACTCACCTGGTGGTAAGTGATTACGCCGTCTATGAGTACCCGCTATACCAGAGGAATTGCAAGTGCGTTGTCGACCTTTTAATTAGGAATAAGATCTTATCTTGAAGGTTAAATTATCGTATCAGTTCAGAAATAAAATATACACATATAATTTCGTGTGAAGAAATAATAATATTTTTTTTCACAGGACATATTGTTTTCATATAAGCAAACATATAGTCTAAAAATTTTAGGAAACAATATAGCTCCAAAATTTGTAAAATTGTTCAATAGGTTTTAATAATACCCAATTACCAACATACAGACAGACACGGCGAGGTTTTTATTTTATAATATGTACAGATGTACCCTTGTTTACAGGTCCAATTGTATGGATTCAATAAGGAACTGTACCATAATATGTCTGAGGCACAACACAAATCACAAGGTGTTGTTGGCATTTCACTCATGATCCAAGTAAGTTTAGTGTAATAATTATAACGTATTTTAAAATTACTAATAAATAGATATTTTAATTAATTTTAAATCTACTTAATAGATTTTATGAATAAATACAGATAGAATTTAAATGTTAATATTACGATACGTAAAATACTTAAGAGTTTATATTTTAAGTGGTTCTTACAATGACCCCTCCATGAAACTGTAACATGATTCATTTTACTACACTGATGAATCTGGTTTTTATGTTGTTGGTATTGTGTTATACAACAATACAGAAACTCGGAAATGTTTCTTTAATGCATCTTTAAAATAAACTATAGCCTTTTTATAATGTAATCATTAACGCTGAATATTGTTTTTAGATTGGTGAACCAACAAATAAAGAGTTAAGAATATTAACTAACGCATTCACTAAGGTTACTTATAGAGGTAAGCTGTGTAATTCTTTACCTTTAACTATATTGTCAGATGGAATGTATGTATATGCTCAGTTATGGTGAATGTAGTAACCATGTCCATCACTAAACAAGCACACATAGCCCCTAAACAATAGATTGATTTTTTATATCTATTCTCCAAATAGTATAGCATATAATAGAGTATTCTTATATACCTATATATACTGAAACAGTATACCTATCAAACAGCGAAAAAATTCCCCTAATCAATACAATGGTTACGGAATTTACTATCCGCATAATACAATCCGCTTTCTCTCTTTTATTATATATATTAATATTAGTTAACGTACATGTATAGGATATGCTAGTTTATTGTAGATGTAACGTTTAATACCGGTATTTTTATTTATCAGGCAATTCGTACCCAATCAAGCATTTACCGCTGAGCTCGCTCCTACCAAACACCCAGCAGTACCTCACATATGAAGGGTCCACCACACACCCTGGCTGTTGGGAGACGGCCGTCTGGATCATCTTCAACAAGCCTATTTATATTTCTAAGCAAGAGGTATTTACGAAACTTTATATTTTAATTAATTATTTATGTGTATAAACATAAATAATTAATTAAAATATAAATACAATCTGAACCGGTTCAGAATTGCGACTATATTAATAATAATAATATAAATGTACCATAAAAACAAAATTGTCTAAATACTCTAATTAATTTAAAATATCCTTCATTTTTAGTATTTTTTAAAATAGTTATGAACTACAGGTCTACTGTAGACTCTATTTCCGCTCCACTGATTTTGGATTACTGATTTGCATTTTTTTTTTTTCACTTTTATTATACACTAACTATTATTATATTCCATATTTCGTAGGCACTGAAAAAATTATAGTCTGTTTTTTTACTCTGACTTTACAATGCCACCTTTTTGCGATTCCTAAATAGTGTTGTATCACTATGAGCCATGGAAATTAATATTATTACCTATTTTTTATTAAAAAATATTATTACTCGAATAATTTTTATTAAAAAATATAATGATTTATTTATTTTAGAATAATGTGTTTATGTTAAGTTTTAAGGAAATATAATGAGATTATAAATACTGTCTCAGATGTACCAATTACGAAGAACCATGCAGGGATCTCAGTTAACCCCAAAAGCGCCTCTGGGGAATAACGCGAGGCCAGTTCAGCCACTGCACCATCGCACTGTAAGAACGAACATCAACTTCAACAAGCAAGGAATTCAGGTTGGAAACATTTTTTTACATGTGTATCGTAATAGGAAACAAGCTGATGGTCTTATCTTATGGAAAATTGTAATCAACAAACACACATCGTCGTGATTTTTAACCGTATAAATGGAGATTTATATTAATAATAATAAATAGCTAATCTACAATGTACGTGCCATACAGACGACATCACGAGAAACGACTAGTTCTAAATAATCATATGAAAACATACATACATGCATAATTAAATTTATTATAATACTCGAAGTAGTTATACGAATACGGAAAACAACAGCTACTAGATAAAAAATTATAATAAAGCTAAATCTTTTTTAATAAATAAAATGAAAAATAAGTAAAATTAACGAATAAATGGAGATGGTTGACAAAAATATCACAATAATTCTAACAGTCCTTCATAAACAAGAGATGATAACAATGTAATGACCAAACTTGGCATACAGCGGACCGAAACACAATAAAAACTATATGACTGTTATCAAAAGCAAGTGCAAGTTAAATGCTGTAATAAACGAGTAAGTAGTAAACAAAGTTCAGACATGTCGGCTTTTGTTTTAATTTAATGCGTGTAGTTGAACAATTCCCTTGAAAATAAGCTACAAATTAAACATGTCATCAAATCATAAATTATTATAACCTTTTTAAAAAAACATTAAATAATTTTTCTATATGTTAATATATAGCCACAGCGTATAACTCCTAAAATAATAGCTGCTAAAAATATAGTTTTTTCTTTAGTAGTGCAAACTTTGTATTGTATGTAGTCGTGACGTATCAACGTTTAAAGAGTATGATGGAAGATCGCGGAAAGTAGCAAAAGCTCCGCCGACAAGAGCGTTGCTCTTAAATTATAAATTAATTAATTAAGTGTATAAATTAAGTAATTAACAAACTGAAAATTAACTCGATGATAAGCAACCGCCGGGTATATATATGAATGGTATGAAGTGATATGTGATATGATCCTTGTACCACTAATGAGTTGCCATTGGCAACGACTAATGCAATACCTCCATAACCTGTAATTTCACTACTATATCTTGTGAGATATCACAAATTATAATGAAATACGGATATACTTGAAACGGATGAAATTACTCGATGAGATACTCAGTGCTGAAATACTGATAAAAACAATAGCTTATTTCTCTAATAGTTTATACGTTGCAGATAACATTATTACCGAACCTAACAATATAAGTGCATCAGACTGTAGACGATAAATTGTCAACAAATCCGCCTTAAGACGAGGCTTGTTCGAGTCGTGGCGTAAAATATAATTTACGTCTGCTGTCGTCTGCGTTAATTAATTTGATACGGGTGCACTGTGGTTTAGGGTGCGATCTCTGAGAAAACGGCTCTGTAGGGTTGTCACAAAACATATATCTTTAAGAAATAATTAAAATTAAATTCTTATATATTTAAAAAAATCATGTTTGATAATACTAGTAAGTAAATATCTTTCATTTTTACTGTCAATGTTACTCTATCTGTGTGTTATGTCATTAAAATATACTCAATATGTAATTAAACGAAATTCTATAATTGAGCAGTATTAGATCAATTTCAAAAACATTTACATTTTTTCAGAATCGATAAAACTAATTACAATTTCATATACCTCTTTGTTAATTGAATTGCCTACAATTTTTTAAATATAATTGGACGGCCCACTTGATGATTAGTGATAACTTGTACTTGTACTACAGACGTCACGTTATCATGTGACCCTGTGATACTATAGTGATATGCCTGCAACCGAAACACAACTTACAAAACAAGCAACGTGGCGGCTGAAGTCGATAAGCAGAAATCTTTTTACAAAGTCTACTAAACAGGTAGTTTACTAAATTAGCCGATATTTGTCAGTTTAAAAAATGTATGAAACACTATTTAGGACAGTGGCTGGTGGTGTAATTCCATTTTTAAAACTCGTCTTTCATAAATGGAATTATGTAAATTTGAAGTTTGTGAAACCCAAATTCAATTAAAATTTAATTTAATATCATCCAAAGTTGACAACCCTAGTCTTGTGTTTGGTTGTTAGTTGTTTGTTGGACTATTATTGTAGCCAATGATTTACTACACTAATGTTAGCGTGAAATATTGATTACAATGTCAATCATAATTTACATCAACTCTACTGTACAGTGGTGATTACATTGCTCCCGTAAGCGAGGTTCTGTTTTCGATTACCAGTTGATGAATTATGAAAACATATTTTTCTAACCAGCATAAACCGCAACTTTGTACCCATTTAACTTTTTTTATTTGGAATACGTATATTATAACACATAAAGGTACCAAAATCAGTTAAGCTATTTCTGAGATTAGCACGTACATGTACGATACACTGTACGTACGTATGTATGTACTGTATGTACATACATATATATAAAAAATATTTTACAATTATTATAAAGTTGCTTTTTAAAATAAATGTAAAGTCTTTTTTCTGAAAGATTTAGGACAGACTGAAAATCCGTTCAGCTGTTTAGCCGCAATACAGCAACAAACAGAGAAAAAACTTACTTTCATGTTTATAATATTTATATAGATTACTATATAAATAATAACCCCGGACAATTCACACAACGCCATCTAGTTCCAAGTTAAATAGAGCTTATATTATGATTACTAGACAACTGATATAAATACATATACAATATACATGGAAAACACACAGACCGATGCAAATAATCATACTCATGAATATTAAAGAATTGGACACACACTCGCGAGCAACCAAATCAACTGAAGCGCTACATCTACAATAATCTACATTCAAACATTGTTTTAAAGTATAGCGGATATACCAAAATTATGTTCTCTAATAATGTTTCTTTGTTTCAGGTTTCCAGCAATTGTCCTGATATGTATCGGAACATGCATTATACAGGTATTTTTATTTAATAATCAACATGATAACAAGTTTCTTAACAAATTCGCACCTCTTCAACTAGAGCCACAAGACAAAAATATTATAATTATTATTACTAGTTTTTCGGAATTTACTATAATTGTAGTTTATCATCAGTGTCAATACAGTAGCATCATCATAACATCAATTCAAACAGCTCCATCTGAAGCAAAACTAAGCATAGCCTATATTATGTGCACTGAATAATTGTTAAAAATACTGAAAGATATGGTGATATTTTGGTTTGTAACTTTTCATTGTATACATATATATTAATACAAACTATAATACGCAAAATGTTTGTATCGTGCGAGAATCGAAGAAGCGACCATCAGACAATACCGTTTCTCGAATCGAGAGACCATGAAGGCCGTTAATGAGGGAAATGAAATTAGAATTTTAAAATGTATCTCACTAACTTTGTTTTTTGCATTGTGACTCTATTTGGCATGTGCTATATCTCTTTAGGGCCTTCTCGCTATCTAGATTTCTTTCAAGAAAGATTTCTATTTGGACTAGAAATAGCACTTATCACCTTATCATGTTTATTATACTACATACTAAATTTATTGCATGAAGTCTTCTTATATGCACTTTAGCGGAATGATAGATATTATTAGTTGTCTCATATTGCAACTAAATAAATGGGAATGTATATTTCAATGTTTTATACTTATATTAATTAATGTTAATTATTAGTTATTTTCATTTAAATAACAATATGCACCTGTCTAAAATCTTTGTTGTTTCTATGTTATCTATAAGAAAAATATCGTTAAAATCTATAAAAAGTATTCATATTATAAGTAATAAATGGGGAAAGATTAGATTTTTTGTTTTAAATATACATAATATATGTGGTATATGCATAAAATATAGGCAAGGAATGCATGACCTCTTAGTCCATGAGTGGTATCACAGACGTCACATGATTACGTGATGTTAGTGATGATATTATGGTGTCACTTAGTATCAGGTATGCGAAAGTCTACCTATGATATGGCTAACAAACCATACGGTTACCACTTACCATCAAGTGGTAATCGTATGATTTGTTAGCCATATCAGCTACCTAAAACAATTTTGATATACTCAAATTTATATTTTAATTATTAATAAATCATTAAATTATGAGGTATAAAAACTACCGTGACTAATTTTATATATTCTTTGTTTCAATTGAAAACAAAGAAAAACTCTACAATAATATCCGTGCAAATCCGATGAAGATAATTTTATTAAATTACTGGTTTATTTCAGCACGTTATTCTCGAAAAGCACGCACGAAAAAAAGTATTGCATGCAAACGAAAGACTCCACAGAAATGCCACAAGAAATAGGTACAACACAGCACGTTCCTCACTTCAGCGAGCTTAGTGTTGTAGTGTTTGAGCTTAGTCTTTGTACCGTAGTTATATACAACTGTTACCTACAGGATAATATTTTAAAGAATGCAGAGAGTAGCGTACTTTATTAATTTATTTTAAAAATGTATATTGTATTGTTTGAGCTTGGTTTATGATCTGTAATTGTATAGAGCTGCTATGTAGATAATATTTTAAACAATACAGATGGTTGAATTTTTGCTTTATTTAAAAAAGAAAGATTTCTGTATTATAATGTTTGTGCTTGGTTTACGATTATAATTATATAGGGCTGCTACCTAGATAATATTTTAAACAAAGTAGACAGACAGCAGACCTAAGGCTTTCTTCTCGGCCAAATTTTTGTTGAAACGAGTCAAATTTCAACCTCATTTATACTTAAAAGTTTCAGTTTGAGACTTAATTATAAATCTTTATTTAGTTTTCTAACGCTGTTTAATATAAAAAATATTATATTCCAAGTAGATATCAGCCCTTATGTAACTCCTAAATTTAATGTTATGTGTATCGCTTTTCAATTACAGCACAGCTTTAAATCCGTAATTTAAACAAGTAGATATGCATTTATACATTTTTATGTTATAACATTTTTGTGAGAGTAACAGTAAAGATGTTTCACTTCATGTTATAAATATTTTCTTCTATTACAATATACAAACAAATACAGGTGACCAAATCAACTCTACTGCAGTATCGAACGCGAGTTAGTTGCATCACTGAGTCTGACAATCCCACTTATAGCAATTTACTGGATTTTTTAAATTTCAAATATAATTTGTACCTTTACAACTCTATTCTCAAATGGAGGCATTGTCAAGTGTCAATATCGAGGTGAACATGGCACTTGACTAGGCAAGTACCCATTTCGGCGAGTAACTTTTGAATACAACATAAAAAAAGTAATGAACTCAACTTACCGTCTTATCTCAGATTAATTTTTATTATCTGTATTTTCATCAGTAGAACCTTAGGCTGAATGGTATCGACACACATTTTAGTGTCATCGAAATTTAAACCGATGACCTTCGCATTATAATTCAGGGTAGTAAACTACTAGACCAAGACGGTCTCTATAATACAATTCATAATTTTATTATAAATAAAATAAGATTATAAAAGTACATGTAAGCGTTTTTTTTATATATTTTTTCTTAATTCCAGCTACGCAATGGCCAAGGGATCACAGTGTGAGATATCGTAGCGCCGAAGATCTAGCAATGTTATCACCAAATTGAATGTAATAAAAAAAATGTACAAACACTACGTCAAATGGGTTTTAATACTCCGAAAATATAAATTCATAATGACCATAATCTTAGTAATGTTATAGGAATAAATTATAGTAAATATATAAATAGTGAGCTTTATTGTAATAATGGAAAACACGGAAGAGATTAAGCATCATGATTGATTCATCTTATTAACTATATTTTTACGTAGGAGACAAATTTCTTGCCAAATTGGTGACAGGACGAAGACATTTTATTTTATTTACCGACTCTGGATACATGGTCTAACAAGCTTAATGTATTATCTAAGCAGTATACATCATAAATGATTAATGTTACCCTAAGTAAATAAACTAAAAAATGACATAGAAATTGTTACCTGTAAAGTGTGTAAGTGTATAATAAATATCTCTACTTAATGGAAACTTGATAATAGGAGATAAAAGGCTATCACGGCGTTAAAAATAATTGTAAAAATATTAATATACTAACCTTCACGACTGTTATCCAAAATGAGGTAGTCATCGACATTAATTTGGTGCACATAATATTTAACATACCCACATTTAACTGTGTATAGTCGTATTTGATTCCATAGTGATAGGGGAAGAACACGAAGTTGTTTTTCGACTTAATTTGTTAATGGTGTTTACCATCACTCGAGAGTCAGTCAAATTTGCGCAATAATATTTTTATGTATCTGCCAGATAGAAAACTTGTGACTTTTGAAATCTATAAGTCATGGAAATAAACTCTATTTTTTTCAATAAAAATTATAATACTACGACGCACTTACGAAATATTAAATATTTGTTTTTATAGGTTTGCTTGGATAGATTGTATGATATATGATAATATGTATGTAGTTTCCAAAGTTTTACGATATCACGCAGTAAGTCGGTAATAATAACCATCAGTAAAGTACCTAGTTGATATTCACTAGCATCGTCTGAGAGCCAACTGCAACTGTGATTTGAAATTGCAACAAAATTGTTTTTATTTGTTTGCAACCTAACATACTGGTCAAGTACGTCTTTGTATACACTATATACTAATGACTGATTCGAAATATTTTCGAAATAAAATGTAATAATGTAATAATGTGGACAGATTAATTTGCCACAGAAAAAAATACTTATGAAAAAGTAAAATAAATTTGCTTAAAAAAATATTTTTACGTACATAAATACTTGTGAAAACTGGATATAGACAGATAAAAGAGAAGAACAGTACTTACCATGACCTAATTATATATAACCCAGTAGAATTATAAATATTATAAGTAAAGATAACCAATAACCATTAGAAATTACTCTTTGTAAATGATTTGTATCTAGAGTGTAATATATAATTAGATTCATAGATTGTAATATTAACTTTCCGAGCAATTTTCAATTAATTATACATACTCTGATTTATTTACATGTATATTTTAATTAACAATGTACATCATCTAATTAATACATATTCTTGTGAAATTAAATGTATTCTAATACCTATTTATTTACTTTATTTATGGTATACAATAAATATCATTTAAGAAATTCAATCTGCAATCATAAATAATTTATTTAATTATCATGGCGAATCTAATTTCTCTGAAACATCAAATTTAAATCTAGTCTCGTAAACAAGCCACTCTGATATATACTAGTCGGCATATAGTATTCCATTACTCTAACCACAAAACTTGTACCAGTACAAAATATTTATAGAATTAAGACAATGTTATTATTCTTCCCGTTGCCGCCCAAATGAACAAAATAAAAATGTCGAAAACATATTGTGAATATTGCAAGGAAAATATGTTTTCGACATTTTTGGTTTACATCAAGTTTTTTGTATTTTCATACCATTTCGTAATTATAAATAATCATATTATTGTTTTACATGTAAAATATAAAAAAGTGTTTTTCGAAAATATATCTCAACAATTAATTTAACATACACTGTACCATAATCGAGTAAATTTAAATATATACTGTAGACATACAGTTAGGTAACACAGCTTTCAAATAGAATGTATAATTAGAAATTATAAATTGTCAATTGTGTAGACAATATTCCTTCTTGATAACTAACTTTAATCATTACTAATGATGCTGTTATTATATAACCTTCATATATGATATTTAGGCTTACAAATCGTATTTTTAAATGTATATACTTATAATAACAATGTATATAATTTCACTTTATATTATAAAGAAGTATCGTAATTCGTCCACACTGTAAAGTGTATCTACTGCAAATTGTTATAAAGCTTTTATTTGGAAATTATGTATAATTTGTATGATAGCAGACGCGATGAAATAAATTGTCGTGTGAGTGTATATGAAAATATATTTATTAAGCTATAGTTTATCCTTTACAATGTATGCTATTAATGCATCAAAATTAATTAACTTTTATTTTTAATAAGTGTCAAGTCACAAAACTTTTCTCTAGAATAGAAAACAAATACTATTTTGAGAGACCTATCTACAAATTACTGAACTATTATTACTCTTAATATCCGGACCCAATTTACAACATTTAGTTATTTGAAGATAAATTGAACATCATATAGCAATACAATATTGACGCTTCATTTTCTTCAGTAGCAATTTTGTTAATTTATTAGTATAGATGTAAATTGTTAAAAGGCTTTAAAATGACATGTCTATTCATAATGATTCCGTTAATTACGTAGTTTAAAATACACAATGAAAGCTTATGACTAGTATATGTAATAAAACTATTATTAGAAATTACAAGAAGTTTCAATTACAAATTGCTTTTATTTAGGCAACATTCCATTGTTGTATGCATGTGGAATAGTTGTTGCTAACAAAATGTCAATTTTAAATAAATAATATTTAGCTATCAATGGAACTTTGAATATTTAAATGTATTGGATATAATATGTTATACTAGAATAGAGGAGCAACATGAGAAAATGCAAATTATTGTAATCTGTATATAAAATACTAGTAATATCCTTGTTGTTTTATATAAATCAATATATGTATACATATTTATAACCTACCTGACCTATTCTAGTCCTACAGACAGAATTTTCATCATTTAAATTCTATTCCGCGCAATCATTCGGAACATTAAAAAAAGATACTTGTAATTAAAGGACGGAATATAATTTATAATACTAAAAGGAGTATTTATTTATGAAAAGTTGTTTATAATGTAACTGTAATGTACCTACGGAATTTCGTGTTGTAGTTTAGCCGCCTGTATTTATATTATGTTGAATAAAACTATTTATCACAATGTTTTATTTATTTATATGCAACAATGTCCCATAGCATAATACCAGCTTGGAGTTTCATGTCATACGTAAACATAAAAAAAAACACCAAATATTGTATAGGATGCTTTATTTTTTATGTAACTAGAAGGACAAACCAGACCAGCAGCACGTATGATGGTAACATGGAACAATACCACGACATAATGCCTTCATGCATTGTAATTCAGAAGGACGAAGCTATCATACCTTTAAACCCTGTAATTTTATTTTCATGCCTGTAAAATAGGAACTCACGTGAAAATCGTCGAATAAAATAATATATACTTTTTTATCGTTAATAATATAATGGTGGAGATATACCACGTCTATGTCAATTTAGAGCGTTTAACTCATCATTTATATAAATATGGTTAATAGCTCTCAAATAATGTTATAATAAAAATGAAGGATGATAGAATGAGCAGGAAACAATATTTAACACGTATTGTATCCAGGGGAACCGCCAAATAGACCTGACATGGGAGATTGCTAGCGATTGCTATTACTAAAAATCCCTTCTCCTTGGTCATATGTACCTCTATGTTAGTTATCATACAACAATCTGCTCTAGTACACACATAAAACTATTTAATGTAAATTACTACAACTGTCTAGATTAGCAATAAAACATGGCAAAAGGAAGTTCCGATGCAGCGCCGTATGTCGCGCCGGATGCGTCCGGGCGGCCATGTTGTCTGCAACCCCCGTTTCCTGCGGAACTACGAGTGCTACGCTGTAGCCGTTGTAGAGGCTACGACGTAGCACCGATACACAACACTCTTGTATTAAATAGTTTTTCTTGATCGATTGTTAAAAGATTCTGTTAAGGAAAATGTTCTCGATTCAACTCGACTATATTTGAAAACTAGTGAAACCCGCAATTTCGTACCAGTATAACTCTTTTGTTTATAAATAATAATTTTATCATTTTTAGTGAAGTTTACCACAATACATGAATGGTGAATATCGCATTCAAATCGGTTAAGCCGTTTCTGAGATTAGCACCCATAAACACACATGAAATAGATAACAGACAGACACAAACAAATACTTTGAACATTATTATTTTGGGTCCTATTTGGTTGCTACAGTCCCCTAATAATAGTTTATCTCAAATACCTTTTATGTGCAGACAGTGATTGGTTACATTTTTATTATTCGTATATGTTTCCTGATGTCATTATTTCAATATTATTTTACGATCAATAGATTTTACTGCCATATAAATTACAAACTCTTGTTGTTAATGTTTTTGCTTCGAGCGAGGTAGGTAAACAAATTAGTCTTACTCAAAACCAAAAATATTCTAGTTTAAAATGTTTAGTAAC